AGGGAGAGTTCAAAATCCATAGTGTTGCTTATTAACCTACACAGAGAAGCATCAAGCAATTTTCCCTCAGTTCAATACTTCATGATGGCATTCCTTGCTTTATGTGTTTACATACGTTTATAACACCAACATTAAATAAATACCTCTACACATAGCCATAAGACCATCTCTACAAAGAATACTGTTGGTGAGGCTGTTTTTTCCTGTTTACCTACCCATGAACATTCTGGCAATTTTTCATGAGACTGCATTAGTCTCAAACTTTCTATGGTAACATTTTCCCAAGGTGTCACTAGTGGTTTGAGGGCAAACATATTTGTTTATGAGTTCAAACATAATGGCAGAAACTGGCTGAAAAGCCTGCATTTGCAGCAGGAGTTATATTTGGAGTTACCATAGCAGCTTCCTACGTTCTCACACACACAGAAAGGGGCGGTGGGAAAAGAGAAGAAAGCAGTTAGCAGAGAACAGAATCTATTGTTAAAACGACAGGGGTACCCATCAATGCAATTATAAGCAGGGATCCTAACTTTTCATCTGAAATACATTTAATGATAGAATATTTCTTAGCGTTAGACTGCTTGTTAAGTGATTATGTGCTAAATTCATCACCAGCTGAACCCTCAGCTTTAAACTTTACTAAATGCTGAAACTGTGCTGGAGGAGAGAGGATTTCAGCTAGGCATGCACACATAACATCTGACAAGATTTCATGTTTCCCTATCTGGAATATCTTCAGGATCATTGTCACCAGGAAAACTCGTTCTGTTGATCTGAGCAAATTGCTTCGTGTTCTCAGTATCTCCATTCAGATATTTATCACACTTAATGAATTATTACGTACATGGTAAATTGTAAATAAATAACATGTAAGTATTAGTCAAGTCATAAATTAATGAAACTGAAATCTGAACCATAGTAAGTGTTCAATAAACAGTTGCTACAGTAATTATAATTATTATTCATAAAGTATCCAAGTCTTTATTATAGACTCAAAATATAGTTTATAATTCAAAGGTTGCTAACAGAAATGCATTCAGGTGGTCAACAATCAAAGGCAAGATAAGATGTTATGGTTCTTCCAGGATATAAGAAGCTAATGCTTTATTCCACAGAAATGTTTTTAAGGCACTATTTAGTACACTAAAAAAATACATATTTTATCTTAGCTGTGAATTTACCACCATTGGCAAAGGCTGGATACACAGCAAAATCTAGCATCTATTAGTGCTAAAAGGGTACACAGTATCTGGGTTCAGAGGGCACTCTGTGATTTCCCTTCCACCGTTTACTTGATCACATATTCATATGCAGATATACCCATGCACAGACACAAAACCAACATCAGATTTAGATGATAGCAATAAGGGAAAACATGCTTTATGCCTTCTCATTCACTCATTTCAAATCTTCCCCGTGAGGCTGGGTGCTGCATATTCTAACAGAGGGAAGCCTGTAGTCAAGATGAATGAGTTAGCACATTTTATATGAGGCCCAAAGGTACCATACCCTGTGTTAGAGAAAGCAAAGCTGATGGATTAAAGAAATTGGGGAATTAGAGGTACAGAACTGGGGCACAGAGTGAGAGGGCAAGAGAAAATTGTAAGAGACACATTTTACAACAGTCAGCACATAATGGCAGACAGGATAGGTATGACTCCCAAATACTACACAAATTTTCAGAATAAGTTCAGGCAGTGAGGAACACAATTAAATTGGTTTGTAACTTAAAAAAATCTTCATCTCAGTACTTGAGAGGCTAAAGTAGGAGGCTGTTAAAAGTCTGAGGCTAGATCAGACTATGTGATGAGTTATAGACCAGTCTGGGCTACAGAGCAAAGCTCTATCTCAAAGAATAGACAACCACACTCTAAAAATCTTAATTTATCTACCCTAAGACCTCTAAAATTGTCTTGCCACTAGAAACGTTATATGAAATGACATGTATTTCCTCATAATTTTTTCTTCTACTTAGTAACCTTTATTTCCAATCTAGGAAAGAAATGTCACTGGGTTTCGTATAAATTTTTCTTTACGTGGTAGCCAGGCATGATTGCATTAGAAACACTTGCATCAAGCAGCTTCTGGAGGATAAAAATAATGCTGAGCTTTTCCAAGTCATTAGAAACAGATTTGGTTTCAAGCTAGGCCTGAATATTTACAAATCTTTTGTTAATAAGCAGAAATTACAAAGAAGTAGACCGCAGCACCACTGGGAAAGAGATATGAGTAGTCTCAACTCTGTACTGCACTGAAGGAAAAGTCTACGGAGAACAATCATGAAGTCCAGCCCCACAGCTGCAGGGAAGCGCCTGGTGACAGGCTGATGATGGCAATGCTGAGGTCAGCAGCAGCCTGCCAAGGCTGCCCTTGTTTCTGGTCCTGTCTCTCAGCAATGTAATCAACTATGATCACATTCATTCCCACTTCCAGGTCTTGAGATCACTGCACTGGCTCCTCCACCAAAATGATGACAGATATTCAAGAATAAAAGAAATATAAATTTTCTAAGGATATTTTTGTTACTTCCATGAGAAAATATTAAAACACTGATTGAAATATTATGATGATGTAATTATCACTAACAAAAGAGCTTTCTAAAAAAAGAGTCCTGTGCCCCCAACAGCAGGAAAGCTTGAGTAGGCAGCCAAGAGCCCAGATAGCTCTCTTAATTGCAATTGCATTTTTATTACAAGTTCATGGGAAGTGTCACAGAACAAATTTGTTTCCATTAAGTTTTATTTAATACAAAGGCAAACATATTTACAAACAGAAATTCTAATGGTAGTATTTTTATTTTTTTGTAATCAGCTACCCACATATGAACTCATGAGAGTCAGTTGAGTTAATATTATTCACAATACAAACAGCAATTTTTAGAAATAAATTTAATCACCAATAGAAATCTACTAATATCCTGTCAGTGATTCTCATTACAGGAAGAAAAAGAATTTGACCCTTGGGAGAAGGGAAAGCATGCAGTGGTGATCCCTCCTTACCGTCAGATACACGGCGGCGTAGACACTGAGGGCCGCTTCTTTAGATGGAAATGTTTTCCTGGCTCGCATGATGAGATCTGGGTTGCCTGTGCAAGCTTCCTCCCCACTGATGAACTGTGTATACTGCTGACATCCAAGTGCTGTGTAGTTGGGTTTACACAAGGCCAGAAAGTGGGGAGCCAGGTTTCCTGTAACAACTTGCCCAGCATTCACAAAGATATCAGTTGCAAATAGTCCAAACGTATAAATTCCTGAGGAATAGAAGAATACAAACAACTTTAGCTCTCTATGTTTGGGGGATGTTTTTGTATTTCAGTCTATAATAAGCCAACAGGGAAATATTTTAGAAACAATTTACTATTACATACATACATAAATACATACATACATAACAGGGTCCTTTTCATTTAACTCTTCCCCTGTTTCTCCCTTGGCTTTCTGGAGTAGTTGAGGGTGTTAAACTATTTAACATATTGAGTTGTCTACCACTGGCTACATTTTCATGCATGGCAGGTTTATAAGACATATGATAAAAGATAAAAATATATTCTGAGACTATGTTTGGTTAAAGCAGTTATTTTTTAATAGAGACACATATCCCTTGAGCGGGTGTAGTCTTTCGGTTTTTACTAACAATAGCAATCTCTTTTTCTTTTCCTGTTTTTGACACTATTTTTATCACATTAACATAAAGCTAAGCAGTCATCTCTTTGATTATACCTCCTAATCCCACTCAGACTGATATTAAGTCTTCTGAAGGAACCAGTTAGTAGCAATAGCCACTGTCATCGGTTTACATTTAACTATAGTGGAAAAATCTTAAAGCGAAATATGTTCAGATTAATCTCTACATTTACTTCAGTGACACATTTTTTCAAAGACCAAAAGAAACGCAGTGTGGTCTCACTTTAATCTTTTCTCAGTAATCTTTGTTTTTCCATTGGAGGACAACTTGGGAAAGAATCAGGCAGTCAATTTTATCATTTTCAATTACCTTGAGAGTATTAAGTTTTATTTACTATGGAATTTCAAAGTACCAATTTAAGAACAGTTTCTTGTTTTACTCCTCTCGTAAGGAACATTCATGTTTTCTTAAATCCCAGAAACATTTTCTAAATTCAGGGTTGTTGGTCACAAGAAAGTTGCAAAAGATTAAATTTGTAGTATTGGATACATGGGCATTCTTTTAATTGTTAAAATATTATGTAAGATTTATATGCACATAATTTTTTTCTCCTTAGATGAAATAAATTTTGTCAGTAATGTCAATGAAGCTTACAGATGCTGTCTTCAAAGGTGTGGCTCTGATACCAAGAACTCTGGTGTCTTCTAAATGTAGCAATATGGTCCACCAGACATTTTTGGTTTTTAAGACTTATTTACTTTATTTTATGTATATGTGTCTATGTCTGATTATATGTATGTGTACCTCATACATGTAGGTACCTACAGAGGCCAGAAGGGGGTGTCAGATTCCCTGGAGATGGAGTTACAGGCAGTAGTGAGCTGCCATGGAGATTCTTGCAAGAGTAGCAAGTGCTCTTAATTGCTGAGCCATCTCTCCAGCTAAAACTATAGCAAAATAATACTTCCCCAAACAGTTGGTCCATTAAAATCCATACTAATATCATTATAAAAATTAGATGGCTTTATTTTTAGTCACATATTGCTAGACTACTTGTTTTCCTAAGCTTTTCTTGTAAGCTTTTCTTCATGACTGGCTGTTGTACTGAGAAATCATCATGAAAGTTGCAAAGAATCAAAAGATTTTCAATATTAGACGTATGGCTGTTCTTTTAATTTTCAAAATATTATGTAAGATTTAGTTATGGAAGGATAGAGAGATGTCTTAGTGGTTAAGAGCACTGATTGCTTTTGTAGAGGATGCAGTTTTAATCCCCAGCACCCACATAGCAGCTAACAACCATCTATGACTCCAATTCCAGAGGAATCCAAGGCCCTCTTATGACCTCCACAGGCATTTCACAATACAAGTGCACTTACATACATGCAGGCAACACACTCATACACACAAAATAAAAATAATAAATAAAATATTTTAAAAATATTTCTTTATAGATGAAAACCTTCACGTAACAAAACTCTGGTTATGCAAACATCAAGGAAATACAAACATTATTCTTTTATTTTGAATTATCAAAGAAAACAGTTAAGAATCTATTTCTTTACATCATATCAGCATGCCAACTCATATTTCAAAGATTATGGAAAGCAGAAATTGGGGTGAGACAGAGAAATTGGAATTAATGTATACAACTTCCCCTTCCAAATTTGCAAAGTTAAACCAAGGCACCTAAACTACAAATATATATATATACTCCTTTGAAATGTAGGCTAAGATGTACTCATTCTAAACTGTGCTTTTTATCTACTGTAATAGGTGCCAACTCATATTTCAAAGATTATGGAAAGCAGAAATTGGGGTGAGACAGAGAAATTGGAATTAATGTATACAACTTCCCCTTCCAAATTTGCAAAGTTAAACCAAGGCACCTAAACTACAAATATATATATATACTCCTTTGAAATGTAGGCTAAGATGTACTCATTCTAAACTGTGCTTTTTATCTACTGTAATAGGTTCTCTTGTTTAAAATAGAACTATTTAAGAAGAGTATGAAAATGTCTCTTAATACTTGAAAAGTCCCCAAATATGCCTTAGAACTAAAATGTCAGGGCATCAGGCCCAAGGCCGTTACCTCAGCTGACTACACAAATTATTATTAAAGAGAGATCCCATGAGAACACCCATTCTGTTGACCTCAAGAAGAAAGTCACTACCCAGAATGATAAAATTTTAGGTAGGATTGCTTCAGTTACGAGTTTCTATTCTATTGGAACAGATTCGAAATATTCAAATTATCATAAGGGAACAAAAATATAGGAAGAATTATATAATGGGCAAGAAGCAAAGAGATCCAAGCACACTTCACTGCGTGCCACACGTTTTTAAGAAACGTATGTGCAATTGCAAAGAGTCACTTTAACAGGCACAATATAACTTTCTCAGTAGTATTTAGGAAAAGTATCAATTTCATTCATTGCTTTTAGTTTTGCATATATTATGGATTATTCTTTTGTTATTAAATGGTTCTTATAGAAAGGGAAATTGTTAAAAAAAAACAGTACTGTGCAAAGAAAAAATAACTTTTTAAGGTTTTATAAAAGAGTATTCTCTCCACAGAATACAGGGGGGTGGGGGGGGCTTAGGAGATATCTAACTTGATGATGGGGAAATGAGCAGAGACCTAAGGCCCTGTGGTATTTGGCTTGAGTTCGCCTGCTTATGTTGTTACCAATATTTTCATCTTGATCTCCTTAACATGAGAGATGCGCTAAAGAGTTTCAGCCTTCTTCATGAATCTCTCGATGTTGATCAGAATTTATCTTACATCCTTTTTAACATACGGAAATATACTCATTTTAACTAACAAACCAGGAAATAGTAATTCACATTAAATTTTATTGTCCAGTAAAATTGGTTTATATAAATTTCTATAGAACTAAAATGCTGCTTAGTAATTTGTCAGTTATTAGTGTCATCATCTGAGACTGAAAGCTTAAATATCAGTGACTATTTTCATCTAATAAAACCATCAATAGAGCTTTTGTTTACAAAGAAAATAACTCAGCAATAGTACATGGAATGCTGGTTAGCAATTACAGTGTTTCTCCTATGTGCCACGTTATCATTCTTGAACAACCTACCTGGGTTATTTCTCCTCAAATATTGCTTCTGAAATTTCATATGTACAAGAAATTATTTATTTTAATTACATACTTTTCAGTTTCTTAAAGAATAAATAAATATCCAGGTGTTTGGTTCTATTGTTGTGATAAAACATCATGACCAAAATCAACTTGGGGAAGAAAGCATTTATTTCAGTTTACACTACAGTCCTTCATCATCGAGGTATCCAGGTAGGCGCTCAGGGAGGACCCTGGAGACAGGATCTGAAGCACAGACCATGGAGGAATGCTGTTTATTGATTTGCTCCTCTTGGACCACACATCTACCTTTTTTATACAGCCAAGGCTCAGCTGTCTAGGGATGGTACCACCCACAGTGGGCTAGGCCCTCTCACATCAATCAACAATCTAGAATATGACCCATAGATGTGCCCATAGTCCAATCTGATGGAGAAAATTCTTCAGCTGACAGCTAACTGATGGCCATGTCAAGTTGACAACTGAAGCTAACTGTGTACCAGGAATCATATTTTTTTCTTTCTTAAAGATGGGTCATTTCTATACTCTGGGTCATTTAAAAGTTGTCTTATATATTAATACTGTTGGCAAGAATAAAAACAAAGTAAAGGGTACATACCAAGAAATCGTACAGTTCGGCGTACCAGTGGGTTTATATAGCAACAGTCTCCAGTTAAAATGGTTTTTTCCTGGTTTTCAAAATCTCTTGTGGCTAATTGTAGGCAAAACACAGCAGTTTCTCCAACTATTATCTTGCAAAGAAATTAAAAAATTAAAGAACATTAGAATTTCACTTGTTAAAAGTTTTTATTTTTTAAGTGCTAACTATCTCAATGTAAAATTGAAACACGACTGCTAACCAGGCTGTTTACTGCAGTATTTTTCAGCATATATAAAATATATTTTGCTCAATTTTAGAGAATATTAAAATGACAGACTTTTAATAAAAGTTGACTATAACACTTGTTCTCTAAAATCTTCATTAAAAATGAAATAGATTTTCTTTAAAGAAGTTCTGTTATTTTGGTGTGTGGTTTTCACTTGAAAAAACAAAACTGTCTTTTACTTAAATTTGACTCATATAACATTAAAAATAGATTCTCTATGCTCAACACATGACATATACATGTATGGAAATGTCACAGTGACACCCACTAATTTGTACCTTTAATATGCTCTTCATTAAAAATGAAATAGATTTTCTTTAAAGAAGTTCTGTTATTTTGGTGTGTGGTTTTCACTTTAAAAAACAAAACTGTCTTTTACTTAAATTTGACTCATATAAAATTAAAAATAGATTCTCTATGCTCAACACATGACATATACATGTATGGAAATGTCACAGTGACACCCACTAATTTGTACCTTTAATATGCATGAATAATTACTATGTTTAAAATCAAGGATGAAATAGATCTTATGCAAATATTTCTCAAAAAGCCTTGTGTAAAACACTGATTTGAAAATATATCAATATAATACTTTTATGTGAAAGAAATCAATTAATATATATTTAATCTTGAGGTGCTTCTAGTCGAAGACATTAGTAAGAGCTTTAATAATTAGTCTATTATTACACTTTACTATAAATGTGTTATTTTAATCTTCAAAAAAACATATGAAATGAAGTATTGTCATTGCCCATGAGCTGGTGAAGGGCCAAGTCTGGAACAGCTGATGTATGTCTTGTTTTTCTCTCTGCAATGTGCAATGGTTTTATGTTCTCAAAATCACCAGCCAGGCATTAGAACAAGTGTTACTTCATTTCATAAATAAGGAAATTAAATTTGGAAAAGTTAAGTACTTAGTTCTCTTTCAGGCTGGTAAGAAGTCAAGCAGAAATCTCTGACTTTTCCTTTGTCCTCAAAGTCTATTTAATATCACAAAGCATATGATACAAAATCAAGAAAACGATAAAGCCAGCAAGACGGCTTAGCAGGTAAATTCCCTTGCCATGTAAGCCTGGAGACCTGAGTTGGATCCTCAGAATCCACATAAAGGTGGAAAGAAAGAATCAACTCCACAGTGTTATCCTCTGACCTCCACACATGGACCATGGCAGAGGAGATTTTGTGTCCTCCCTTTGGTTATAGAGATATTGAAACAATGGTTTCCAATAAACTGGAGTTTCTCTAGGAATCTCATGCTGGTACCAACTCAAAGATTTCACACAGCTGTGTAACCTTGTCAGACCACCTGGCAGAAGAGATGGGGGCCCAGTCTCAATGATGTTGGGTGGGACTACACCTTGGCCATAACTTCTTAGTTGTACATGTCTACTGTTCTCTATGTAAACATAAACTTTGGTCCCAGAGTGGTGGTACACACCTTTAATTCCAGCACTCAGGAGGCAGAGGCAGCAGATGTCTGTGAATTCAAGGCCAGCCTGGTCTCCATTGTGGGTTCCAGGGCAGCTGGGGCTACAGGGAGACCCTGTCTCTAAAAACTAATAATAATAACAGTAACAATAATAATAAAACAGCTTATACTGAGTTCAATATTGTATAACTGTATTAACTCAACTGTGAACCTAGAAACTTGCACACACTTGGAAAAGAGATGTACTCTTGCTCTGGAGTGTGTTACTGAATATGTTAAATCTGTAGCGAAATGCTTGTTCTAATCATGTAGTTATTAAAAATTTTTAAAAATGATAAAAATAATAATAATTAGATGTGAAAAACATTAACATTGAAATGTACCTGATGACTTTATATCCATGCTCAGATGCCAAGGAGCTCAGAAAGTAACCTACTATCACTAGTAATAATCAGATATATAGAGATTAGAAACTCGTGTGCAAACATCTTAATGTCAATTGCATTGAAAATGAATTTTTCTGTATGAAACTGTATTTTAATAATGAAATGGAGATCTTTTTTAAAGTTTAAAATCTCATTTAATTTTATGTCTTATAGGGTTTATACAGGGTACAATATTGTATAACTGTAATAATTCAATTGTAAACCTAAAAATTTACAGCCAACTCTGAAAAAGATGCATCTTAGCTCAGAAAATTGTTATTGAATATGTAAATGTTGTTGTAATGAAATACTTCTTTTAATTATGTGGTTATTAAATAAATAATTAACAAAAACAAAAACAAACAAACATGACTTTGGGGCTAGAGCAATGGTTCAGTGGTTAAGAGCATCTACTGTGCTCTTCCAGAGGACCTGAGTTTGGTTCCCAGCATCCATGTAAGGCAGGTCACCACTGCCTGCCTGTAGCTCCCCCTCCAGATGACCCAACACCTTCTTCTGGCCTCTGTGAACACCTGCCCCCTCCCATACATAAAAATAAATCTTGACCTGGAGAGACTGCTCAGTAGTTAAGAGCACAGGCAGCTCTTGCAGAGAACCCAGGTTCGGTTCCCAGCACCCATATGGTGACTAACAATTGTCCATAACTCCAGTTCCAGGGGATCCAACTAGCCTCATTAAGCATTGCACGACACTGGTGCACTTACATATGTACAGGCAATACACTCATACACATAAAATAAAAAGTAAAAAGTAAAAATAAATATATCTTTAAAAACCCCTATTCTCATTTTAGGTCCCCAAAGATGGACTTGGGGGAATCACAGGACCTCTATATTTGTGCTTCCCTACGTGGCCATATTGAATAAATCCATTTCTTTCTGTTTGTTACAATAACTTGTTTAATTAGAGTTTGAGTAGCTCTGGGCTACTCTCTCCAGGGCTGCCTCAGCCCAAGTTTTGACATTAAGAACTCCAATAACAATCCTGTCTCAGGTATTTTGTTATAGCAATGGAAAACAGGCAAAGACACCAAATAAATGTTTTGGAGTCTCCACGAAAATGAATGCCTATGATAATAAGATATTCACAATAGCAAATGGAAGTAGAAAATGGGAGGTCACAGGAAATTGGGCTGTCAACCTACTTTTACCCCCAGGGTGAGGAACAGCGTGCGTGATTAATTTTTATTCTCTTTCTATCTCCTTTTCCTCTTTGGTTGCTATGCCCTTTCTTCCAAGAGAGAACGAGTTCAAGGTTAAATCAGAATACACTTAGGTAAATTATAGCTGTCTAGTCTTGTCTGTCTGGTGAGACTGGGTTGAATCAGGATAGACTAGAACTTCCAACTTCCTCCTGCATTTTAACTTTGGCATTGGTGAAGCAGAGTAGGTCTGTAACAAAACAGTTCATTTGGCCTAAGGAGGCACAAGGACTATTTTTCATGGATAGGACACCTGTCACCAGGACCTCAGGAGGAATTAACAAATAGACAAGCTGTGCGTTTGGCATCTCCTTAATCCCTTTCTAAATAACTCTCGTATTCTACCTTTTCTGCTACCTTTCAAAAGTATTACTGTGATGCTTTCTGCAGAAAAGTTTCAATTATTTCTGTTTATTCATAGAATAGTCCACATTATATCAATGTATCATCCACTCCACTTCAGAACTCCATAATTCCTCACACGATTGCTCCAGTCTTTCTCTTCCCCACAGCAGTTGCCACTGGGCCTGCACCCCAAGCCTGCCCTCACCTCATACTACCTTGAGCCCCCACTTAGGCTGTTAACACACTGAACTCCTTGGAATACTGTAGCTAACTAGTGATGGGTATTGAATACATGAATGAATTCCATCCTCAGCAGCTTACCGGTATCTCAAGAGATCAAAATGTCCTGGTCTGCATTTCTCCTGTCCCTGGACCTCGGATACCAACATTCTCCTTGCTGCTATGAGGAAGGTCTATCCAATACCCTAGTCCTTATAACCAGATCTTGCATTCTAGTCTTGACCTGGTAACTCCCTTAGTTACCAGGTGGCTTCCAGACTAAGAACCGCTTTGTTTGGGCCACTGGTCCTGGGCTACTCTTTCTAGCAGCTCCCCTAACACTGTCCTCTTGCTTGTGCCTCATTCTATTTCACATTTCTGAATTTGCTAATCATGTATTTCTAAAAATAGGGTCTTAGTCAATATCACTTGGATGCCACAATGAGAAATATAGTCAAAGTACAGTGAGCATACAGAATTCATTCTAGGATTGGAGGGCTCTCTCAGAATGTAAGAAAAGGATAGTTAGAGGTTAGGTCCAAGCACAGTTGTTCTCTCTCCTTACATGGAGTCACACTACCTCACATCATGGGTCCTCTATGAAGGCTTGCCTTGTTTTATCTTTCTGAAAGTCAGATCTTCAGTCTGTAGTACATGGTTAACCCCTACACTCTGTAGGAGACTTATATTGACCTTGTGAGCTAATTTCAAGGAAACAGTTCTAAATGTCATACTCAGAGGCTGGAGAGATGGCCATGTCAGGCAGCTTGAAACCACCTATAACTCCAACACCAGGGAATCTGACATCCGATTTTTTTGGCCCCCATGGGCACTGCCCTCACATGCACAGACCTACACACACACACACACACACACACACACACACACACACACACACACACACACACACACATATACACCACTCACACACAATTCAAAAATACAAATAAAATGTCAAATTCATAGTAAGTTCAGCATCAGGTAGGTTTTTCCTTTGGTCGGTTAACCAAGGTTAAGGAGGTATGTCATGTATATAAAAACCAGTTCTCTGAGTATGGACAGTAGGTCAGAGAAAGAGCGAGAGACCAAGAGAGACAGAGACTGATTTGATCTCATCTGGTTGTTCAAATTGGGCTTCATTTCATTAAATATGTGCCTGGGTCCCAACACCCCCTTCCTCAGAGGGCATGTCTAATTCACATGCTCTAGTTCTCTCTCCCTC